CCCCAAAACCCCAAAACCCCAAAACCCCACATATCAAAATAATAGAAAAAATAGGAAATACAAAATGAATAAACAATGGAATTTTAAATTATTCAATTTTCAATGTAAAAGTATAAAGTATCATAGAAATGATTAAATCTATTACTCAATTATCATATTCATCTGAGTCGAAATCATTGCTAAAATGATTATTCCCGAAATCAATATCCTTAATTTTATCAAATGTTAAAAGCTCAGTCCTCATTATTTCATCTATCTTGTTGGTTATATCATCGCACTCTTTTTCAAGTTCATTTTTCATGCCCAGCAAAGAATTTTAAAGCTATGAGAATAACTAATCACTCTTCATTGACATGTTCTAATTGTTATTGTTATTCAAGTTTACTTATTGCATCTGAACATTTAGGTTTTTCTGACTATTAAGAGTGTACTCATTTTAACTTACTAATGAATTGGTATCAAATACATTACTATTAATGTGATTCTAACTGAATGATGGAGAAGCCATCAATTCATTACTTTAATCATCTTGATAGTTTTAGTGACTAAAATATCTGTTGTGATTTGGATTACCATAAACTTACTTTGTATCTTCATTAACCTGAATAGTTTGATACCCTTAGGCTTTATTACTAACATTTCCATTAAAGCTGTTAATATCATAATTATTCAAAACACTTATTGAGGGATTAAGTTGTCTGCCTCCATATATATCTGCTCTAGTATCGTTATAGCTGTTATCAATTTATAGATCTGATTTAAAGGTCTCTGCACTTTAAATCCCATACTTATCGTTAAACTCGTTATGATTTTTATGTTTTGAAGGGATTGCTTGAGAGGCTTACATTGTCGGTTTTTAGTTTTCTTTTTATTGCATGTGCTTTTTGAAGCTTGACTTCATTTGTTAGGGATTAAGGTCAATTGAATTACTAAGATTTAAGTCTGCATTTGAAGAGGGGAAGGAAGAGGAAGTTTAGAAGTTGTTATTATTATTCATATTCTACTACCCAATTAACTTGGCTTTCATGATTTCATTCTGAATTTCTTATAGTAGCTTGAGACTGTTTGACATTTTGATTTTCTTTTATTGAAAAATTTAAATTTGAAAATTTGAAATTAACTTCATCTAAAACTTTTTATTACGCCTTATGGGGTTTTGGGGTTTTGGGG